TGGAGATTTGTGTGGATTATGTGAAATGAATGTGAACTTTATATGGAGATTTGTGTGCATTCTGTGACATGAATGTAACCTTTATATGAAGATTTGTGTGGCTTCTGTGACATGAATGTGAACTTTATATGGATTCTGTAACATGAATGTGGACTTTATGTGGAGATTTGTGTGGATTATGTGAAATGAATGTGAACTTTATATGGAGATTTGTGTGATTCTGTGACATGAATGTAACCTTTATATGGAGATTTGTGTGGCTTATGTGAAATGAATGTGAACTTTATATGGAGATTTGTGTGCATTCTGTGACATGAATGTAACCTTTATATGGAGATTTGTGTGGCTTCTGTGACATGAATGTGAACTTTATATGGATTCTGTAACATGAATGTGAACTTTATGTGGAGATTTGTGTGGATTCTGTGAAATGAATGTGAAGTGAAATGTATGGAGATTTGTTTAGTCTGAAATATATACTACATGTTTTTGGAGATTTGTGTATGATGTGTGAGCATTTCTTCTCATTTCTCCAGTATGAGGAAAATATTTGTGTTCAAGATTAGTTAAAACCACTATTGATGCAATTAGTGATTTCAATGTTAACCCTTCATTTTTTTCTCTCACCAGAATTTGAAAACCAGCTTTGTGGGAAATCTGATGATGAAGGTGAAACTGCTTAATAATAAGACACAATAAGTATTACATGTATATTTGGTGCTCTTTAAGAAGACACAAGTTGTGAAACATTATACCTATATGCGCTTTATGTTGGTGGGGTTACTGCTGACCTCATTATGCCGGTGGGGGTTTGTTGGTTGGTTTGTACTGCTATGTTTATGCTTTTAGTAACCGGAACTTTCTTTTGCCATTATGGGTTTTTCATCAGTGAAGATTAACATAATTAGACCACAATTATATACAACAATATTAGTTTGGTGACTTCTTCAGTCAGCAATAATTTCAAATGTTATTTTGACTTTTTCATGAGACTGTAATTTTTCAGGAGACATTAAAAAAATGAAGTCGGACTACTTTAAGTTGTTGGAACTTGGAAATCACTAAGTTTTCAGCCATTGAGGGTGCTGTTACATGAAAGGTGTTGTACTGTATATCCAGTAGTGAAGTAGTAGTAAGCGAAGATTTACACCAATTTGTTTTTTCAAATTACATAATTATGGTCTACCATACCATGGTTGGAGACTCTTTCATTTTCAACAAAACTTTACTTAAACAAAGAGTGAATTCAAAATATTCAGCTGCCATATGAAACCACATTATGCAAATTTTAGTCACTAGCAAGACTTACTTTCATTGTATTTTTAAATAACTGGTTAAAGTAATTTTTTTGAAATATTTTTTTTCAAAAATGTACATTAATTTTAAGTACTTAAGTCTGTAGTTGTAATACGACAGTTGGAAGCAAAGTACAACTGTGACTGTGTTTATTGCAAATGACTTACAGGACAGCTGGGAATGCCCTGGACAGTATTCCATCATACGTCTTATTTGCATACAGTTGATTGCTTCATCAATATTCAAAGATTGTTTGTTTTTGAACTGTGACCTAAAGTAGTTGACATTTGAGTGTTTTCATTAAGTTATTCATACTGATGACACCCATATTGTTTGTCCTTGATGTTACAAAATAATAATAGCTCATGTATATATGTATACATGTTTTTATATATACTTGTGTAAAACACTGTTCAGTTTTACATTTGTGTTATCCCTGTTTACTTAGTATGCAATTTCACCTTTGAAAACTCTATTTAGATTCATATTAACACAACCATGTACTTATAAGCTGAGACCACCATGTATGTAAATAATTATATGTTTATATCAGATTCTGTAATTTTTAAATTTTCTCTTAATTTACTTATCAATCTGTAATGTGTATATACATCTGCTAAATTTCTCTCTACTGATATATATATATATATATATACTGACATACATGTACATTGGATATTTCATTTTCTGTTCTGTTCATGTATATTTTGAAATGTTCTACTTTTGACTGATTCTTTAGTTTACTATTTCTTACTCACTGCGAGGTTCTGTGTTATGCTGCGTTATGGTGAAATCCAAAAGTTGTTTTTACGCGTATTTCCTTGCCTAATATTGTGCTATACAAATTTGATGAACTAAGGCTATCTGTATGCCACAATCCCCTCTGAAAGCCAGCATTTTAACATTATGAAAATAAAATTCAAGTTAACAATGTTATCATTGGGTCTGTGCCTTTCACGCAATATGCAAAATTTCGCAGTGAACTGAAAACCACCTAATTGTTTTAATTTGTAAATCTTGAATTATTCTGAAAAAGTGTTCCTGACTTTATTCTTGAAATGCCATTCATTCCTTGTCTTTATTAGCTATAAGTATGTGTGCTGTGAGAGAAGGGTGTGTTTGCTGCTTTCAGCTGTAGACTGATCAAAAGACTGTTAGTATAGATCTCATTTCTACTGTCATTTTAAAGTTGTATTGTCAACAAAATTGATTTTGAAGCTATTTGACATATTTTGAGACTATTACGAGGATACCGAAAAGTGTGCACAAAGATAGAACAGCAGGAGTATCGACTGGCGCGTACTGTCTGAGTGCATACTTTGAGGTATCCTTTTAATAACCTTATTATTATACATCTTTTTCTTCCAAGGATACATCTTGGGAATGCCGAAATCCATAAAGTTTAGAACAGAATCAGTAAACTTTTTTGTGTGGAGTCCGGTCAAACCCTGGTGGCAGCCATGTTTGTTTTTATTATTCGATATTTGGAATTCGCATTTCTTAATATGATAGGATGAATATACCCCTAAAATACTGCAAAATTACAACACCCTGTAATTTATGGCGTTACGGTGACAGATGTTTAATAATAAGTAGTACGTGTATTGCAATAAATACAACAATTATGGTATCAGTAAGATACCAACCTTTGCCAATATCATCGCAGAGCAGTTCTGAAGCTTCAGAGCTTTGAGTATCTTGAGGGTGTCATCGTACCATCAAATCACATGCAGGATTCTCTTTTTGATGATCGAATATACGGTATATAACAAAATCTATATTAGATTGATGTGAAGCATTTTTCCCCCTAGTCACACCTCACTGTCAGAATAGTTAAAAAAACGCACAGCAAAATTGACCATATTGTAGTAGCCTATTAATTATTACATTTTGGAAGAATGTTTAACACGTTTTACTATCTTAATTGGTCTGCTGATGAAATGTGTTATACTCCTGTGCCTAATGTCATAATCCAACATCGTGTCGCATATTATAAATGCGTGTGCTAGAAAAACACTTATTCAGGAACAAACATAATTTAAGTGATCAGGTTGGGTGCGGAAAATTGGAAATGCGTACAACAAGTATCGGTGCGATATATGTTGATAACAAAAATTCTGAAACTGGACAAATTAACATGTTTCAAGCTTGTCTTACGACCTTTTTGTCTTCTGTCATTTTACATGGCTGGAAGACAAGTTGCTTAAACAACCGACTCAAATCACCATGGTGACATGTGACGACGATAATTTCTTGTTCAATGACTGCATCTAATTATAGTGTTTACAATTGTGTCACACACCAAGTCTATTCGCTACATAATACATATTCAAATAAATGAAATGTTTATCTGTTGCTGAATTGTACATTTTTCTTCACTCCCAAAGAAATAATTTGTCTAATCACGCATGCAGTTATCATTGTAAACCTAAAACCTAGAACTGTGGAGTTACTCTTATTGACAAATTGTAAAACATATATGCTATTGTATTTTGACATTTTGATTAGAATGCAATTGTTTTGAATTATTTAAGGAAGATAACTATACTAGTAATCTTTTGATCATCATTCACACAGTCTTGACGTAAATTGGTGGCCTTGTTTGCGCATGACGCATGTTTTGTGGTGGTAACTTAAAGGGTGGTGCTCGTCGCGCTACCCAAGTGCAACATTTCTGTTTCCCACAATGCAATGCGACCTTCTAATGGAAGTATGAGGTTTGACCTGGGCACGACTTGCACTAATTACCGCCCGTGACTCCTTCGGTACCTTCCAATCACCTAAGAAAATACCTAGTTAAAGCTTGGTAAAACCCCAGTTTGTATCCGTTGATCTGTCAAAGTCACCATCTTTGTTTATATGAGACCCATATGTCTCGTGCATATGTGGCGCGCCGACTGCCGCCCTTTAATTAGCACGGGTGGTGATCGCATTTGCACACGACACATGTTTTGTGGTAATTATCTTGTTTTCACATGAACGGTGGTGATAACCTCGTGTTGTGTACCCACAATGCTTTATTTTCGTTCACCATCACGACATTCCAAATGACTGTCCAACAAGACACAATTCAAAGAGAACAAATCAAAATGTTGACAAAGATAACATAAATCGTACTAAAACTATTGTTTCACAAACAAAATAATCCAAAGCCTAATTATGCTGGTGCGTACAAATCTGAAATGAACATCAAATTTGTATAATCCTATCACGCACATATCTACAATATAAATGATATTTTTTGGTCATCTACAACTTGCAATGATTCATAGAAATGTGTTTTGTTGACGTATGACAAATGCCCAACTACAGACACTGTGAAGATGGATAGACTACACTGGCAAACTACTGAGGAATGTATGTTTGCCGTACTCGTGTCATTCCCATAGTCTTAGGTTACAACATTCCTATACACACACACAGTATACTTGTCTTAAACTTAATCTGACTAGCGGTGCATGACCTTTGACTGCTATGATATACTAGTAACCAGGATGTCCTGTGGGTTAATACTAGAAAATCCAACTGTTGAACAATTATTTGACTATCCGTGTGTATTGGGAGTGTTTCCATCCTTAAATCCACCGACTATCGAAGTTTTAGATCGATAATTATCGGAGAATTATTTTACCTTTTTTATGAAAGTTGTACTTCGATATTCACCAGTCGCGGAATTGCAAGGTTGCCGTTTACATCCGGTAGCACCTTTCCAAATGTATCTATATATTAATTAAAATCATTTATTTACGTATTTATTATGCAAGAGATAAATAGGCACTGAATTTAGCATTCAGTAGTGTTTGCATAAGTTTTTTGAGATTGCCAAAAAATACAAAGGTCTCACACTATCTCTTTACATTCCCTTAATGTATGTTTTCGGCCAACATTCCTTGATTACCTCCATACATTATACGTTTTCCTATCAATCTAAGACATTGATAGTTCTCAGAGAATTATCAGAGAATTCCATGTTTAAAAAAAATTAACCCACCACCCAGCTGTAGACCCTGACTAATATCAATCGAAAACATCGAGAATTGTCAGATATTTACCCGATAATTCAAATGTACAATAGGCCGGCTTTCTCTAATGCGAGGATCCAGGATATTGCACAAGTTTATACTACCTGCAAATTTGATGCATAATTTCTTAAGAATTTCCTAAGGAAGTCAGAAAGCACTATTCTATTCTATTCGATTCGATTTGATAAAATCAACTCATGTTTCCTTATGATGTCTTCGCATTTTACTTTACCGTTTCATTACATTGTCCTGATATTCCTCTTTGTTCTGAAAATATTCCCATATGTTACACTCATAAATTACAGTTGGTAAACGTGTATATGCCAAAACATGTATATCTTGTATTCTTCATATTATTTCTTTGTCAATATCCTTCATGTTCTGCAGATGTATTTAAAACTGCATATTCGCTCCATTGTACAGTCGTCGATTTTGTATTTT